CATGCTGTTTTGATTACAACTGCCCTGTAGTATGTCCTGAAATCTGGTATTGTGATGCCTCCGGCTTTGTTTTTGTTGTGCAAGATTGCTTTAGCTATTCGAGGTCTGCTGTGTCTCCATATGAATTTCAGCATCATTTTTTCCAGGTCTGAGAAGAATGTCTTTGGTATCTTGATTGGTATTGCATTGAATCTATAAATTGCTTTTGGGAGAATGGACATTTTGATGATATTGATTCTTCCAATCCATGAGCATGGAAGATTTTTCCATTTCTTGGTATCCTCTTCTATTTCTTTCTTTAAGGTTTTGTAATTTTCATCGTAGAGATCCTTAATGTCCTTGGTTAAATTTATTCCAAGGTTATTTGATTGTTTTTGTAGCTATTGTGACTGGGATTGATCTTAGAAGTTCTTCCTCAGCCATGGTATTGCCTGTGTATACAAAGGCTGTTGATTTTTGTGCATTGATTTTATACCCTGCTACTTTGCCAAAATCTTCTATGAGTTCCAATAATCTCTTAGTAGAGTTCTTTGGGTCCCCTAAATAAAGAATCATATCATCTGCAAAGAGGGATAATTTGAGTTCTTCCTTCCCAATATGTATCCCTTTAATTTCTTTTTCTTGCCTAATAGCTCTGGCTAGATCCAGAACTATATTGAATAGCAGTGGTGAGAGGGGCATCCCTGTCTGGTACCAGATCTCAGTGGAAATGCTTCCAGCTTTTCCCCATTCAATAGGATGTTGGCTGTGGGTTTTTCATAGATTGCTTTGATTGTATTGAGGAATGTTCCTTCCATACCCAGTTTGCTTAGTTTTCATCATGAAAGGGTGTTGTATTTTATCAAATGCTTTCTCGGCGTCTATTGAGATAATCATATGGTTTTTCTTCTGCAGTCTGTTAATGTGGTGTATCACATTGATTGTTTTGCGTACATTGAACCATCCCTGCATACCAGGGATAAATCCCACTTGGTCTGGGTGGATGATCCTTCTAATTTTAGTGAAATGGAATGAAATTACTTTCTATGGGATTTTGTTTGTACATAGGCCACCATACATATGTGAGGGTACTCCAAAAAGTTCATCAAAATCAAATTTATTGCAAAAAAAGAAATTCACATGTAGTTTTTCATAATACATACTTTCCATTATCTTTTTGAAGACCTCATCTATTGAATTTTATCAGTTTACTGTTTGAAGACAGCAGTACAGTATCTACTTGCATACATGTTGAACTTATTTCTTGGAGTATAAGATTGTGAGAGAAAAAAATACTATGGCTTTATCATTTCTTTATTTCAGTTCTTGCAAAAATGTACTTTTCTAGTATTAATTTAAAATATATTTCTTTATGGATAGAAAATTCTAACTATATTTGTAATATCTGATAATTTTAAATTACATTTTTAAATCATGTGCAGAATTGTTTTGATCTCCCTGTTTTAGTATTTTTACTAGAGAAAAAGTTAAAATTTAATATTGTAGCATCAAGTTATATTTTTTATAGTTCTATGCTGGTCTCAAGTTGAGGCCTATAGTTTCTGGCTCAAAAAATACACATATTTAAAGACAGATAATGTGCCCAACTTGATTCAGAATTTTTTTTAAGATTTATTTTATTTATTTGGAAGACAGGGTTACAGAGAGAGGAGGAGAGACAGAGAGAGAGGTCATCCATCCGCTGGTTCACACCCCATTTGGCCTCATCGGCTGGAGCAGAGCTGATCCGAAGCCAGGGGCCAGGAGCCAGGAGCTTCCTCCCGATCTCCCACAAGGGTGCAGGAGCCCAAAGACTTGGTCCGTCCTCCTTTGCATTCCCAGCTGCATTAGCATGGAGCTGGATTGGAAGTGGAGCAGCCAGGACTCGAACTGGAGCCCACATGGCATACTGGCACTGTAGGCCGGGGCTTTAAGCTGCTGCAGCACAGCACCAGTCCCTGCATTCAGAATTTCAAAACGTGTATTTAAGAATATAATAAAATACCTGTTTTACCTATCAGGCAGATCATTGTAGTATTATAAAATAACAAGCTTAAAGCAATAAAAATTTTTTTCAAGATTTATTTATTCATTTGAAAAGCAGAGTTACAGAGAGAGGGAGAGACAAAGAGAAAGAGATACATATCTTCCATCTGCTGGTTCACTCCCCAAATGGCTGCAATAGCTAGGTTGAAGGCAGGAGCGAGGAACTTCCTCTGGGTTTCTCACGTGGGTGACAGGGGCCCAAGCGTGCCATCTTCTGCTGCCCTCCCAGACACATTAGCAGGGAGCTGGATCAGAAGTAGAGAAGCCAGTGTTCAGTCTGTGCCCATATGGGATGCTGGTGCTACAGGCAGCAGCTTAACAATCTGTACCACAGCACCAGCTCCAAAGCAATACAATTTTTAAACAATTCGCAGAACATCTTAGTGCCTGCCCACCTCCTATATACCTCAAAGTTCTTAAGCATGTGGCCGGCGCCACAGCTCACCAGGCTAATCCTCCGCCACAGCTCACCAGGCTAATCCTCCGCCTGAGGCACCGGTACTCCGGGTTCTAGTCCCGGTTGGGGTGCCGGTTCTGTCCTGGTTGCTCCTCTTCCAGTCCAGCTATCTGGCCCGGGAGGGCAGTGGAGGATGGCCCAAGTGCTTGGGCCCTGCACCCCATGGGAGACCAGGAGGAAGTACCTGACTCCTGGCTTCAGATCGGCGCAGCGTGCCCGCCGTGGCAGCCATTTGGGGGTTGAACCAACAGAAGGAAGACCTTTCTCTCTCTCTCTCTCTGTCTAACTCTGCCTGTCAAAAAAAAAAAAAAAAGTTCTTAAGCATGTTTAAGATCTAAAAATGTATATAATATTGTCCTCATTCTTCTCAAAAACCAGTAATTCATTACTTATATGTAAATAGGATAAAACTCAACATGCACTATTGTGTCCCTTTGTAGACCACAGAATAGTTTATGTATTGTAAGTTAGCTATTCTCACAAAAATACTGTGAAATAAAAATAGTACTGTTTGTTATGAGAAAAATGATAAGCCCATTACTCATTTAAAGTTCACATGAACCCTACCAAATGGGGACCATTATCATTCCCATTTTATACAAGACATGGAGAACTTAAGTTCAAGAACTTAAGAATCCTCAGTCTTAATAAACTATATTGCACAAATTTTTTTTTCAGTCATCCAACTTCATCTCCAGTATGCAGATAAGATTCAGAAGTTAGTTACTTGTGTTTAAGTTTGCTGGTACTTGTCTGCCTCTCTCTAGTTCATAGGGGTGCTTCAAGGAGAGGAGTAGGGGGAGAACCACCTTGCTATTACTGCCTGCCATGATAAGTACCAATGACAAATTGCAGACTGTGTAGTTTCTCTAATAAAACAAATGCAATGACAAGAACTTTCTTTTTATGAAAATATTTCCTCTATTCAAGTAGTGCCAAGTAATTTGTTTTGTTCAGTAACTTTGATATGATTTCTTAAGAAAAGTCTCGACATCACTGGATTAAAAGCTGATATTTATTTTTAAAAGATTTATTTATTAATTCATTCATGCAAAAGGAGAGTGACAGAGAGAGGGAGGGAGAGATGGAGAGAAACAAAGATCTTCCCTTCCCTGGTTCACCCCCAAAATGCCTGTAATAGCAGAGCTGGGCTGAGCAGGAGCTGGGATTTGGAAGCTCCATCTGGGTCTCCTACGTGGGTGGCAGGGACCCAAGTGCTTGGGACATCATCCATTGAAAAATTTGATATTGGTTTAAAGCTTGCTGACACTTTATGAAAAAAGACTTTGTCGCAATACAGAATGAACGCTGTGCTAACAGAATTCCAACTTTTCTGTGGGATGATCCAAAAACAGCAAACAGAAGGCATTACATTTCTTAAGAGTCACAAGTGTGTACATGCAAGTTATGCCATTCCTGTTATTAGCTGTTATTTGATATTAGAACTCTCTTCGAGAGGCCAGCGCTGTGGCACAGTGGGTTAAAGCCTGAGCCTGCAGTGCTGGCATCCCATATGGGCACCAGTTCAAGTCCTGGCTGCTCCATTTCTGATCCCACTCCCTGCTAATGCTCCTAGGAGAACTGCAGAGGATGGCTCAAGTCTTTGGGCCCTTGCACTCACTTGGGAGACCCAGATGAAATTCCTGGCTCCTGGCTCCTGGCTTCGGATCCACTTAGCTACAGCCATTGTGGCCATCTGGGAAGTGAACCAGCAAATGGAAGACCTCCCTCCCTCCCTCTCTCTCTCTCTCTACTTCTCTCTGTAACTCTGTCTTTCAAATAAATAAATAAATCTTTTTTTAAAAAAAGAGAATAGACTTAGAAAACCTTGATTTGCAGATTAATATGCTCCGTGGAGAATTTTTGTATATATTGATGATTGGGGGTTGGGGGTTAGGAAAGCCCAGATATCTCAAAAGTAGTTGAGATCTGTGCACTGTGCCCTACATTTATACAGCTCTTAACTGAGTATAATGTGTTTACTCTGATTTTAGGACATTTGCCTTAACAGTATGCCTTTCATATGTCAAAGACATTTGCTGGATTAAGAGCCTGACTTGTTTCTCTTGCCCTGTTCAGAAGCAGGTTTACACAAGTATTCTGATGTGAAGCAGAGAATATGAAGTATTTATAATGATTGTTAAAGTAAAAAGAGGCATAGCTCAGTTGGTTAAGCAATATTTTTAAAGAGTTCTTAATTCTATCTCACTCTCAGTAGCCTTAGGTACAAAAGCCAATCTCAGAATTATTTTTTTACTGTTTAAATGACATAACTGAGTTAAAGAAAGAAACTAAATAAAAGGTTATGCTGTTTACTTACACCTTTCCTGAGTCATCTTCACCTTTATGGCCAAGCTTGACTACAATACACCACAGTGCATATTCATATGGCATTCGGTTATGGACTATATTCTACTTCATGTGTCATTTTCACCTATTTAATAGATGGGTAGTGAGTGGAAGAGAGAAGGTGAGAGCACAGAACATGTACTCAAAATGTCTTCTTTTTAAATTCCAGCAAATTCAGTAAAGCTAGAAATGCAGAGCGATGAAGAATGTGACAGGAAACCCCTGAGCCGCGATGACGAGATCAGGGGCCATGATGAGGGTAGCAGCCTAGAAGAACCCCTAATTGAGAGCAGCGAGGTGGCTGACAACAGGAAAGTCCAGGAGCTTCAAGGCGAGGGAGGAATCCGGCTTCCGAATGGTAAACTGAAATGTGACGTCTGTGGCATGGTTTGCATTGGGCCCAATGTGCTTATGGTACATAAAAGGAGTCACACTGGTAAGCAGCTGAAAGAATAACCTGATGACTGCCTGTGACATCTGATGTTGATATTACCTGACATCTATTCTCTTTCCTTTTTATTCAGGGGTGGCAATGGTGAAACTACCTTTTCAGAATTCTGCTAGTATTGGATTGCTGAAAAGCAGAGAGTAGCCTGGGTCTTGACTTCCAGCCTTCAAATCTGAATAGCATATCAGAAAAGAAGTTTGGGATTCAGTTTCCACAGTTCTTAATATAGCAATAATATGATAAGGGTTCAAAAGGTATAGGAGAATTTCATTGTGTAACTTAATCTTTTTATATTTCTATACATATTTTTCCATACCCATGGGCAGGTAATATAGTTTGCTAGCCAAGAGTTAATACTACAAAATGGCACTCATGCATTTATATAGGGGTGAATCATTTTCAATTTATCTAGTTAACTTGTTGAAATACAATTTCCAATCAATCTTTGCTTACCACAGATCACAGTAATAGTAGGCAGGTACTTTCCCTCATGCAGGGATATTACCAATTTCCTGTAATTTTTGGTTATAACTCCTGCAAGAAGATATGTAGGGTCAAATATCTCAAAGGGTGCTAGGTGTACAAGTAGGGTTAGGTAATCATTGAATGGGATGAAGAAGCCCTCAGAGTAACAGACACTTTGGACATTAGGTGGAAAGTCTTTCCTTCATGAAAACCCACCAAATGAGGAAAAGGATATCTCCACATCCTTACATCTTTAGCTAAATTGAAAAACAAAAAGCAACAGAAATGAGTTTGTGGTAACAGAGAAGGATCATTGATTTGGAGGTGGTGGTAGCTTTCTGTCTAGTTCAAAGTAGTGTTATACAGCAAAATATCAATAACTAATATTCTCAGAATTTTAAATATGATACCCTTTTGGAAAAGAGATAAATCACAATTTTTCTTCTAAATAGTCAATTTAATAATTTGATGCTTAAAACATGAGCAATACAGGATACATTGAAGTCTTTTTAAACCAAACCTCTCATTATTATACATATAAAGAAAGAGTGCAATGATTTGTCCATTGTCCCCTTGCTTGAGATAATGCTTTGTTAAGGATTGATCCAAGATTTCCTGATGCTCAGGCTGGTTTTGTTTTAATATGCCCTGTTTGGTGTGGTGTATTCATATACCCAGAGCTTATTATGAGGTATAACCATAAAGCTGATATTTAGATTACTGTGAGAAATTATACATTAAAAGCAGTGTATCATAATCAAAATATCAGCTTTAGACCTCTATATATCTTTTCCAACCATATAGTCACATTTTTGCTTTTTGTCTTGTTTAAAATTTCCTTTTTAAATAGCAGTGTATTTTAAGATTTACATTAGCAGTGCTAATTTTCTCCCTATAGTTTTCTCAAAGGTTCTGGGAAAAGTTGAAAAAAATCAAGCTTGAGATCTAATTAATAAGAAAAAAAAAAGGAAAGACTACAAAACAATCAATCTACCTTTTATCAGTGCTCATAGAGTAATTCTAGGTGTAGTTAAGATGAGTTTCATAGTGTTATATATTCATTCTATCATATTTTATGTCAAGGAATATAATATCCATTCAAATGTATAATTCCTTCAAAAACCAAAATCAATCCAATGACTGTGCAGTTGAATTGCATATGCTGTTGATTTTAAGGCAGAGGAGTATGCTAAACAATTTTCGGAATATTTTTTAAAAACCTTTTATGTCTTTAGTTTAAAAAATTCAAAGAACCAGAGTATACATTCCTTAAAATTTAGGTTAATCAATGTTTCACTGTGTCTACAGTGATATTCATGAGGATTGTTAGTTGTAAATACAATAGCTGGAAACCTACTCTACTATCCGATTGGTATTTACTACTGTGGTAGAGTTGAATTTTTTTTAATTCTGAGATCTAATTGGCATGGAAAATATTTATAAAGTTATGCAGATTTTCGTAAGTCTTAGGAATATAACAGTAAGCAATGGCACTTTTAAAAATAAATGTTTATTGGAGTATTGTGAAAATTATTATCCATTCTTCAAACCTGGGAATTTCTTGGTTAAAGTTAATAGCTTTTCATGGAGGAGCTTGGGATATCTATAATGCCTTTTTGATTTTGAAATTGTAGCTATGATATCTTTAAATTAGCTATTTAAGTAGTATTTTTGATCACCAAGTTTATTTATCTGAGAGGATCCTGACATTTTCAACTCCATTTTTATACTACTTGAGAATACAAGGTCTATTTGTATTTCTTTAAACTAGATTGAGAAAAATGTAATCAAAATGTAGTTGTTAACCAAATATTTTCTCTTCAATATCATGAACTACTGCCTTCATTTTGAACTTCCCGGTTTTACCATTTATTTGTAACTAATATAAAAGAGACTGTCCTCAATCTTTATGAAGCCTTTGGGAAGCATTTTCGCATAGTTTTAGATTGTAGAATATCTAATATAAAATTGATGGTGAAGAAAGATGTACAACCAACCAATTTATAACAACATAGAGTATCAGGTCTAATTTGCTTCTTCTTTCTCTTTCATACTTTACTAGAATGCCAATTCTAATGACTAATTAATGGCTTGGTGTTATTTCTTTGGCATTGCTACTTTAGTAAATGATCAGGTAATATTGTCATTGGATACTCCAGGCATTCTTCACTGGAAATATAGGAAGAACAAAGCAAGTAGGGGTAGTAAATAAATTCATATGTGAGCATAAATGGATGGGAATGGTTTACATAGAAGATACTCATAATTTTTCCCCATTTGGGGCCGCATACTCCCATCTTTGTACTAAGCTTTTAGCACCCTATCTTGTACATTGCAGCTTTGTTAAGCCATTATCTTGCTCCAAGACCCCTCAACAGGTGTTTGGGATTTTGCATAGTTACAGGTGGATACTCCATCTAACACAAGAACACCAACTGTCTAATCAGCCAAAGGGAATGCACTCGTGTATATTGACATTTCTGTTGAATAATTAAACATAGATCTAGAACTACATGTTTATAAAGTACATAAAAGATGGAAATTCCCTTTATTCCATAACAAAAATAATATTAACTCTTATTCGTGAGAAACTAAAAATAGACCAATAGATTGGTAGAATGACTTTTTTTTTAAATGCAGGTTGAGAGTGAACATGGAGGATACCACAACCGTGCCTTCATTGTTCTCCAGGATCTAGAGTTTTTATTCCAGATTTTTGTGTTCACCAGTGGGAACAGTAGCTATCACAGGCACAACAAGCTACTTAGTTTTTTTAAATTGGATTACTTTATACTATCATTACTGTAGTTAGTGTATTTGTGGGATAAATTTTCATATTTGATTTACTTTTGAAGAGCATGATCATTTTTTCAGTCCACGCTGAATCAAGAAGGGCCAGTTGATCATCTTGAGAGAAGAAAAACCAAAAGAAATAATTAAGATGTGTTGTTAAAGTTCCATAGACAATGAACATTTTTTGCATATGTAACTTTTGCATAGAGAAAAATGCAGTTAACTGAATCTTTTACTTAACTACCAGATAACTTTACACCTATCTGTAATGCCTAGGCAAAGAAATACCCATCAACATTGAATAAAATGTTTGCTGATATTTTACAGAAATGGCTTTCAAAATTAGGTTAATTCATTTAGCTTTTATTTATTACTAAACAGATATAGAGATAACTCCTGTACTTAGATTATTCCTGAAATGTACCTTTACAAACTAAAAAATTCCTTAAGTTACCACCTGATTTCAACTTTGTCCTCTGAAAGTAGTGTTTCTGAAAGTGTCACTGTAATTCCAGCTAACTGGATTGTGGACATGATGGTTATCGTAGTGAATAGAGTTAGTTAAGCAAATCAGTGTTTCTTGAGACCTTGTCTGGCTGAATTTGAAATGAATTGTGATAACCATCCCTTTTATCAAAAAAAGGAATATGACTGCTTACCTTCATCATGCCTTGTTCTTTACATCCTATGGCCACAAAACTCCAAAGGCCTCCACACTGTAGTTTGTACACTCAGCAGCATGGCAGTATTTCCAATTACATCAAAACCATCTTTCTACCTTTTTAAGATTTATTTATTTGAGAGGCAGCAAGAAAGAGAGAGCATGTGCAGTCTTCCATCTGAAGGTTCATTCCCTAAATGCTTGCAACAGCCAGAGCTGGGCCAGGCAAAGCAAGGAGTGAGGAACCCCAGCCTGGTCTCCCCTCATTGGTGGCAGAGGACCAATTACCTGGACCATCCTCTGTGGCCTTCCCAGGTGCATTAGCAGGAATCTGGGTTTGAACCAAAGTAGCAGGTACGCCAACCTGCACTCAGATGTGGTATGTAGGCATCACAATCAGGGCTGTTGCAGTGGCTCACTTGGTTAATCCTCCCCTGTGGCACCTGCATCTCATATGGGCACCGGGTTCTAGTCCCGGTAGCTCCTCTTCCAGTCCAGCTCTCTGCTGTGGCCTGGGAGTGCAGTGGAGGATGGCCCAAGTGCTTGGGCCCTGCACCCGCACGGGAGACCAGGAGGAAGCACCTGGCTCCTGGCTTCGGATTGGCACAGCTCCAGCTGTGGCAGCCATTTGGGGGGTGAACCAATGGAAAAAGGAAGACCTTTCTCTCTGTCTCTCCCTCTCTCTGTCTATAACTAATAAATAAATTTTAAAAAAAGCATCGCAATCAGTGGATTAACCCATTATGCCACAACACATACCCCTGGACCATTCTTTCATTCTTTGAGATGACCATATAAATTCACCAGTAGTTTCTTATTTTAAAAATTTAAAGATGTTTACAGTATTTTATACATGTGAAAACTAAATTATCCTGTCTTGTAAAACTCAAACGAATTTAAAAAAATTTTAACAGGGTTATCCTTATTACTGTTTCTTTTTTAGAAACTACTCTAAATTAGGGATTTTTCAACTCAGCAGGAGGTTTAAAAATATCTGAGCATACTACAGGAATATTTTCCAAAGGCCCACATAATTTCAAATTTATTTGGTCACCACATGCATTTAAATCCCTTTTAAAGTTATGGCATCCTGACTTGTTATATGCCTGAGAAACCTTATATAGAGAGACTACAAAACTAAAAATCAAATATTTGGAGTGAAAAGCATAATTTATGCTCGCTCTTTTCTTCCTTTTAAAAACCATTAATTTGTGAAGGAAATGCCCCCATCTTCTATTATAGACTTTATAGTGGGGGTGGTAAGTAGATAATTCTGATTTTAAAAAGCTGTAAATTGGGACCAGCATTGTGGCACAGCTGGTTAAGCTGGCACTTGCAAAAATGCCGCCATCCCGTTAGGGCACCTGTTTGAGACTTGGCTGCTCCATTTCCAATCTAGCTTCCTATCAGTGTACCTGGGAGGGCAGTGGAGGACCCTTGCATCCATGTGGGTTACCCAAATGGAGTTCCATGCTCCTGCCTTTGGCCTGGTCCACCCCAGCCATTGTGGCCTTTGGGGGAGTGAACCAACAATGGAGGACCTCTCTCTGTGACTCACCCTCTCTCTCTTCTCTAATTCTGCCTTTAAAATAAATAAATCTTTAAAAAGTTGTAAACTATTATTTCATTGGAAATAAAGAATCAAGTTTTTTATGTGTATGGAAAAATTAAAAAATCTGCCAAAGTTAGATTTTAAAATTTGATCATTTTTTCGGGTTTATTATGAAGGATTTTAGCCAAATGAATCAAATTAGATGAATAAGATACAATTCAAAATAATTTCAACATTTTTTTCCCCAACGTATTACATCAAAATAGGACCTTTTGTAAACTTAGCTCGTAAGAGTTCTGGATTTTTTAAGAAAAAAAGAAATCCTTAAATCCCACCACACATACAGATTATTCTCTTTTTTGCATGTACTTCATTAATTTCCAAAAAGTTAAGTACTACAAAATTTGAGATACAGTTACCTATAAAATTTTTGATTTCTTTAGGCTTTAAAACAAATCTACATAATAATTTGTAGTAACTACTGCTAGAAAATGACCAGTTTATCCTCTTTGTGCCTCAGAACTTTCTTCAATAAAAGGATCAATGAGTGGCATCAAAGGGCCAAGAAATTATTCACTAGTATTATGAATGTCTCATTTAAAGATAGATAAAACATGACAATTCAATGTAATTTTTTTAAAGAAAACTATTAACATTATAATAATTATCTAAGTATAGAAATGGTTGAGTTCAATCAAAAGATAATTGTGTTTTTTTTTTTTTTAAGATTTATTTGAAAGACAGTTACAAGAGGAGTATAGACAGGGTCAGATACACACACACACACACAGAGACAGAGAGAGAGAGAGAGAGATTCCATCTGCTGGTTCACTCCCCAAATGGCCACAACAGCTAGAACTGAGCTAATCCAAAGCCAGGAGACAGGAGCTTCTTCCTGGTCTCCCAGTTGGGTGCAGGAGCCCAAGGACTTGGGCTATCCTCTGTGCTTTCCCAGGTGCATTAGCGGGGAGCTGGATCAGAAGTGAAGCAGCCGGGACTTGAACTGGTGCCCACATGGGATGCCAACGCAGCAAGCAGGGGCTTTAACTTGCTGCACAACAGCGCCAGCCCCAGTTTTCTTTTCATTCTAAGTTTTGAGGTTTAGTATGATACACTTTTATTATTTATATATTAATTTGTAATATAGCTCGTTTATCTTTATAGATAGACAAACCTGATATAGTCTTCATTATTTGATAATGTTAGCAGTTTGATCTGCTTGTCAATTTTACATTTTCACTATCCGCATATTTTTATGTTTGATGACATTGATGTTGATTGGTTAATGGCAACAGATTTAATTGATGTTTTAGGTTTAAAGAATCTTATAGCCATATTAGTAACTGGAAAACAAAAAGAAAAGATTCCTGCCAAACATGATTTTCACAAAATGAAAAGAATACACAGGAAATGCCTAGAAGGATAACTTTCTTTGGATTTTTCCAAACACTTGGCCAAAGTTTCACTATTAGTGGCCAGGAAAGTCAAAATACAGGGCATGTGTTTAGAGATCTTTTAATGATGAGCTTTTATGCTAGTTCATTCTTTGAGTCTCTCTGGCCCTCTTGATTTTTATCATCTAAATGAAGGAATCAGAGAAAAGGTCCCTTCCAACTCAGAATTTCTGTGAATTTTAAGACAATAACATGGTAACATAAAGAGAACAGTAAGGTTGACTACCAGAAGACAGACTGACCAGATTCAAGTCTCAGCCTCAGAATTTGCTGTCTCTGTGACTATATTCCGATACTTTGATACATGAACTTTGATTTCTTCATTTGCAAGTTGATGTTAATAGCTAATTATTAATGACATTGTAAAACTGAAATATCGCATGAAAATCAACTTGTAAGACAGTTAAATGATGGAACCTAGTTATTGAAATGTAATTAATATTGTCACTTTTTTGAGTCAACTACAGGAATTTTGTCAAATTTATATGAAGAGAGGAAACAGCCACCCACTATAAAGCTCAGCCTTGGTATTCTGATCAGAACAAATTCTAGGAAGATAAGTGTTTAGAAGACTTATGAGAGAGAACATTTTTAGTATAGAGATCTGGCTCTGGTTAACAGTGGATGGTGAATCAGTCCCTTGCAGATAACCTACTTGATCTTTCCTCCTTCTCCCTTCTGCAGGTGAACGTCCATTCCACTGTAACCAGTGTGGAGCTTCTTTTACTCAGAAGGGCAACCTTCTGAGACACATAAAGTTACACTCTGGAGAGAAGCCGTTCAAATGTCCTTTCTGTAGTTACGCCTGTAGAAGAAGGGACGCCCTCACTGGCCACCTCAGGACCCACTCTGGTGAGTGTCACCAAACTCTTTGAGGAGAAAGATAAACTAGGAAAATTCAAAGGAGTGCTATAGAATAGTATTAAATACCTTACAGTTTTGGTGCTTAGCTAGGAACAACCTAAACAATATTTTATTTGTATACTGTAAATAACTGATAAATCTTTTAGGATACATGTGACCTGTTTTAGATTGACGAACTTGGCAAAAAGGAACACTGTCAACTAACAGTGTTTCTTATTGCAATACAGTGAAATAAGAAAACAGCTGTTATATAATTTTTTTTTTAATTTTTGCAGTTGTTCATATAGTAAGTACTGTTAATCCAGGATAATTAAAGATTTAGAAAAATATGAGTTACATTCTAAAGTTACTATACAGGAGATAAAAGCTGTGATATATTTTGACTGACATAGTACTCAGGCCAAGATTTCTGTGGGAAATCAAACATTGTTATTTTTAAACTTGAAAATATTATACGCTCTAGAAATGGTCTGTTATTTTATACTCCAATTTAACTCTCCTTGTTGCTTTAGCTCTCAAACTGTAGTCATTGCACACTATCTGCAACTTTTCTCTGCTTCATAAATCATTAAACAGTTGAGAACAAGTTTGATTTTTATAAAAATGCCAGGATATAGTGCATAAAAGAAAAAGAATGATCAGAAATCTGAATGAATCTCATTTGACTTTTAGCATGAATTGCCATAACCAAGAAGTTAAAGGTGGAAAATTAATATAGAATACTCTCAAGCCAGTTTTATATGCTCCTTCTGTCCATAATGACATATTAAATTTTAATTTTAATATGAAGATATGATGGAAGTGACATTTTCATCTACATTGACAAATTGTGTTAGAAAGTGCTAAGGATTGTGAGGTAATGCCTGTATTATCTTTCTTTACATTTTCCCTGTTATCCTTAAGGCTGTTCTTAATTTTTAACATGAATGTGAATTATGTAAAACTATTTTAAACATTAACTCTTAAACTTGGGGCAGTGACAAAAATGAAATTAATGCAAACATTAAAATAAAATGGTTTAAGTATATATTTTACTTTCCTCCCTGACACAAAGTAATTCACTTCTTTCCAACTATGGCACTTTGTTTTAAAATTATTCTCTGAAAATTATATTTTAAAGTGGTGTCTTTTTATTATTTAAGAATATTATTTATGAAAAATATTTTTAAGACATGAGAGCTTTTTAAAATATTCTTAAGTTGTCCAAGGATTATACCACACATAGATTTTTAATGAATACATATTTTTGCCTCAATTTCATTCCATAAATAGCTTTAAATATCTACTTTATTTTTACAAAATTGTGCTGCTTTTAATAACATGGATTAGTGTACATCTTTTGTCTTTCTTGATAAATAAAGAAGAGGTTCTTATAACAGCTTTTAGCTGATTTTATAATGTAATATACCAAATCATAATTTTGCCACATATATAAACTGTATCCTCAAACTGGGCAATTAAAGAGAGTTCAATATAGTGACTGTTGGGGAGAGGTATCCATCTACTAACATCATCAAGGGGTGATGATATTAATTTGGTCATACTTCCTGCTTAAATGTAAACTGTCACCACCAGTGCCTTCATATAGGGAGAGACTAAAAAGCTCTTAAAGCCCATGCTTCTCAAATTGCTCGGAAAGCTCAAAATCAATCATTATATTATATTATATTATATTATATTATATCATATCATTCTGCCACTAAGGTTCTTTGTTCCCTTACTTACAACTTTTGAGTATGTACACTAGACAAGACTCTTCGATTTCATAGCAAGCCCAAATTCTAATTCCTATAAATTCTATCTTTGATGATCCTGTATTTCTGAGGTTACTCTACTTTCTCCATCCAAAATTTACTGGACAAGTTTTTTTATTTGTTTTTTAAGAGATTCCTCAGGGAATTTCCAACTTTCAAACATAGTTTTCCATGTACTCCCAAAAAATCCCCAAATCACCTTGAGAATTGGAGAAAAAAATGTCAGCCAGTAGCTTACTTCTATACTAGTTCAGCAGCTTGAAATGTCCAAAATACCAAGTATTCTCAACTTTCATTGCAACAATATCGGGACTTTGAAACCTGGCTAAAATATTCTTCCTTGGAAACAGATTTCTGAAACCATGAATCCCAAGATTTCTGGACAGAGAAAAAATACTTACTTGGATTATTTGCTATATTGGAGTAGCCACTTCTACTTAACATCTTTGATCTCAAACTTACAGGATTCTGGTAATGGAGGGGATGACTTTTGGCATATCTTGTAGAATACATCCAGACTTCTTCCAACTTGGAACCATACATGAGCCATTCCATTGCAAGGTTATTTTTTCACTCCATTTAGCCTGCGGATCCTTGATAATAGGTCACAAGTTATGTCCAATGAAATCTATAGGTTTGAGCCCATTTTGTTTTCTTTGCCATTCAAATGAGTTTCCTGGTTGAAAGCAATGTTGCAAGGAATGCCATGGTAATTGGCAGAGCAATCTGATAGATCCACGTGTGAAGGGATTTGTGAAAGTATTAGTGTGGGGAGGAAGGAAAATGCACATCCTGAATATCTATAAATGTCCATCAGAATAAATTTGTTTCCTCCGTGTTGAGAGAAATCTAATGTAATCTACTTGCCACCAACTGATTGGTTGATGTCTCTGGGAAATGCTGCCATATCAAAGTCTCAGCATTGGAAATGTGAACCCAACAGTGGTTGCAGTTAAATCAGTCAGAAGAGAGAAAGTCCGTGTAGCTGAATTCATGGCGTTTCCATCCCTGGAGCAGAATATCCAGGTAATGAGCGATAGGTATAACACAGATTACCTGTACCTTCTCCAGTGGATGCTCTCTAGAGGGAATTCGCATAGGACACCATATTATCACAATTTATATGAATTTGAAAGGTTCATCCACATCACTTGCCCCTTGAAATTTTTTCCTCAGTCTTCTACATGGTACACTACATATCATTACCTCGGCAATCTCTCCTTCCATACAAAGTACATAATCAGATATACTAGCTGCAATTGTAACTGCGAGGGTGATAGACTTTTACCACTACATCTCAGGGCCTCCTGCTTTAATAAACCTATAAACAATCATCATAGTGATGTGAACTATGATCTTCATCTACACTGTTTCCATTAATCAATCATTCAAAACATACCATGGGGCCATTTGTGTGGGTTGTGGGGTACTTATTGTGATGCAATAGTATCAGGTATTAGAGATACCTGAGCCACTTGCTCATAAGGTATACTTGGACTTCCCAAGTATACTTGGTCCCCGTACCCTTTAACAAAGAAATGATGTTGTACCTCTTGTTTTACCATATGTTGAGTCAGATGACACCTCGTTTTTGATGCATAATTTGGAGTTCCATAGTCATTTGGAGTCACCTAGCACAAAGTACTCAGTCTTAACCAGAGTTCAATAGCAAGTTAGAAGCTGCCTTTCAAATAAGGAATATCTGTGGGTATATGAGCATGTCTTTTTTTTTTTAAGATCCTTGAAAGGCAGAGTTAGAGAAAGACAGACAGACAGACACACACACACAGAGAGAGAGAGAGAGAGAGAGAGAGAGAGAGAGCACTTGATTCCATTCACTGGATCACTTCCCAAGTGGCCACAATAGCCAGGGCTGGGCCAGGCCAAAGCCAGAAGCCTGGAACTCCATCCCCGTCTCCCACCTGGGTGGCAGGGGCCCAATTACTTGGGCCATCTCTACGGCTTTCTCAGACACGTTAGCAGGGAGCTGGATTGGAACTTGAGCAGCGAGGACTTGAACCAGTGGCTACTATGGTATGCCAGCAATGCAGATGGTGTTTCAATTTGCTGTGCCACAGTGCCAGCACTGGCTGATCACGTGCATCTACTGCAAAACCATTCGGGGATTCCCTCAGAGGTTTCCATTGACAGAGATGTTATACAGTGTCTCTGTTTCTACACTTTCCAGAAATCATTGCATCTGCTGGATCTTAGAGCTAGAGGTATAGGCAAGCTTCCGTATGATATCCTGTAGATTATTTTCTTGCCTCAAGTACCTCTTGAAACCATTAGCCTTGTAGATTTATCTAGTACATGCATAGAAGCAGCATAACCAGATGTAGCCCATGTCACTTCTGAAATCCAGAGAGATCACCACATCGTATGCCTCATTCTTCATGATGTAAGGTACAAGGTGCAGCAGTATATCACTTATTGTATAAGATCTATTTCAGCATGCCCATAACATTTCTCCAATGCTGAAAGCCCTGAAACTGAACTTTGATGGGATTCATCTCCTGTCCTGTAAGTGTCTATATTTCTGAGGTGTTGTTGTTGTTTATTACTACTTTCTGCCCACCAAATCCAACCAGTGCAATGCCATGAATTTAACCTTCCAACTTGATGCTTTGTGGGATATCAAGATGAACAAGATTTCTCTGGACTATGTTTTAACAAAGAGGGGCAGTGTCTTAGCCTTAAGGTAAGATAGTAAAAGTATGCTGTCCCTGCAATGACAAGACAAATGGCTTCAGATTATCTTTGCTGGTAGGAGTTATTTTAGAAAGAAATCAAGTCAGCAGCTCCATAGCAGGTGATAGGGGCTATGTTAATATGTTCCAGTAAAGATTCTACAACTAGAAGTGCATTTGCAGTTGGCATCATAAGTCTTTATCTCAGAACTATCTGGATTGTGCATTGGCGTAACAAACAGCTTAAGTGGGCATAAGGTATTAATCACAACCCCAACATCTTTCAGTTGTCTGATGGCCTCACCAATATCTGTAATTCAAAGAGCTGTGTTATTTCTTCCCTGTCATTGCCTTGCTGCCCTAGCTACTTGTTTTTGTATTGCCCATTTTATTTGGCATTGGTAAGGAGGTAATCCTGCAGTCTTCAAACATGAGCAGTCCAATTCCAGACTTCCATTATGACCACAGCCTTAGGCCATTCCTGCTACCAATAGCTGTTGTCAGTCAGATTCCTGACAGTAAAGCAGTGAAACACTCAAATGGG